TGACGTAAATACCCCTAACAAGGCATGCCGTCGTTGGGCCTAGACAGGTCCAACAAAGAAAAATTTCAAGTGGAATTTCCTGTGCAGGCCCTGAATAAGCACTGACGTGAATGCCCCTAGCAAGGCCTTCCATCGTTAGGCCTTTTTTTGTTTACCCGGTGGAAACCCTCATGGGCCGTCACCCCGCTCCCGCTGGGACGGAGGAGGTGGTGTGTGGGACTCGTCTCCCTGGCACTTGGGCAATTGACGACCCAAGGCCAGTAGTGTAACGGAGACGCCTACCGCACTAAAACCACCGGGGGTGGACTTCTCTGTGCTTTCTGGGGCCACCCGGGAATTGCAACGCATGACTTCCGGGTGGCCCCGCGCCGCACGTGACTTCGCGCCCATCTCGCGGTACTTAAACTCCCGCGCGGCCCTTAAAAGGGCCTTTCTCCTCCTTTCATTGGAAATGCGGCGGGGGTGCCACCAGGCCTCCCGCCGCGCCCCCTAGTTGTCTTTTTAGGGGGGCGGGTGAGCCAAGGGTCTCCAGTCCTTGACCCACCCTAACTTGATCCCATCTCGCTTCCTTATTCTTCTCCTCCTCCCCTTTTAGTCGCCTTTTACGACAGGCAGGGGCTACCCCGGGGCTATTCGATAGCGGCACCCGTACGCTTGGAAAAAATGGGATCATCCCTCTATGCATCTTGTATTGGTGTTCGCTAGCCTTCATGTGTCGGCCGGCCTCTCCTATGCTTGCAAGAGGCATGGCTATCCTTTACGGACTGCCACTTTCCTCTCTATCTCCAGGGTCTTAAGTGGGCCGGCAGTCGTCGCGCTCCTCTCCCTCTCTGCTGTCCTTGCGCGGCCCCCGCTCCTCCTCGTTGCGAATTAGCTGGAGGGTTTGCCTCTCCCCTCCTAATCCGCTCCGTCTCCTCCTTCTGCCGCAGAACGTGTTCACAGAAGGAGGAGAACGCATCCCAATTTCCCTCCTCGTCTGTTACCGCCTCTACGACGGCTCGGGGCGTGGGATCACGCCCGATTTTGTCAGTGAGGACCCGGCGCATCTCTGCCCATTCCGGGCACACCTCTAGGGTGTGTTGCGCCGAGTCCTCTTTGCCTCCGCAGTGATGGCACCGCGCGTCCGGCTCGCGCCCTATCCTATGCAGGTACTCACCGAAGCATCCATGCCCAGTGAGTACCTGCGTCGTCCTATAGGACGATCTGGCCCACTGGCGATCTATCCAGTCATCGAGACGAGGGAGGATGGCGTTTATCGTGCGCTTGCCGAAAGTGTTAGGCTTTGTGAGCCACACGCGCCATTCCTCCCTCGTCGCCCTCTTCGCCTGGAGTCCGAGGAGCCTCCGCGTTCCCGCCGTGACCGGAATGCCCCGCTCCCTCAGCTCTCTGGTGCGCCGATATGCCTCCGCATACGCGGCTGCCACCAGCTCGAGTGGGGGCATCCCGGCCAACAGCGTGGCCGCCGCGTGGGATACCGTACGGTACCCCCTTATGGCCCTAATGGCCGCCGTTGGGCATTTCTGAGTACGGCCTTGGCCTTCCTACTCTTCCGGAGGGTCTCTGCCCACACGGGGGCACCGTACAATGCCATGGACGTTATAACATTGACGTAGAGACGTCTCGTCCTCCCACGCGGCCCGCCCAGGTCCCAACCTGGGCATTAAACGCGATAACGCGTTGCCTGCCTTGTCCAACCTGGGCGCCAGTCTCGCGAAATGCTCCTCGAACTTCCAGCGCTCATCTATGTGGAGGCCCAGATACTTTATCTGGGCCCCCACCTTGATGTCCACTCCATCCACCGTTATCTGGGTCTCGGGTGGCGGACCGGCTGATCCATCATGAAAGAAGACCGCCTCTGTCTTCTTGGCCGCCACCCGTAGACCCAGCGCACCGATGGCCCGCACCACGCAGGCCACCGCCACGTTGGCGACTGCCTTCACCTCCTTCCAGTCCTCCCCACCGGCCAGCACCAGCGTGTCGTCCGCATAACACACCAGGGTGCTGCCGGCGGGGAGTGCGACGCGTAGCACGCTATCGTATGCAATGTCCCACAGGAGTGGTCCCAGGACCGACCCCTACGGGACACCGCAACCCGCTCTCCATGAACGGGGCTCTCCCTCCCTGTCTAGGCAGGTGATCGTCCTCTACCATTCTGGTAATTCGCGATCACTCTGCCCAGATACCCCGGCACTTCTAGCCCCCTCAGGGCGGCCTTGATCTCCTCGTGGGGGATGGAGTTGAAGGCGTTCGCGATATCCAGCGCGACCGCCAGCACGACTCCTCCATCCCCCATTATTTGGTCCGAGAGGGCGCGGACGCATTTGATTGCGTCAATCGTAGAGCGCCCCTCTCGGAAGCCAAATTGCCGCTCTGATAGCCCTGGTCCCACATGTTCTACATGAGCCATGAGGCGAGCTGCAACCACCCTCTCAAATAGTTTGCCCACCTCATTTATGAGGCAGATGGGCCTATAGCCAGCGGGTGTGTCCGCTGGTTTGCCTTCTTTGGGGAGAAGCACCAGGCTCGACCTCTTCCACAGCCCCAAGAAGATACCCTCCTTTAGGCAGAGGGTAAACAAACCCTCCAGCCTTCCGGAGAGCTCTCCCAGGGCTGCCTTCCAGGCCACACCGGGTATCCCATCTGGCCCGGGTGCCTTGCCCGCCTTGAGCTTCCTTGCGGCGCGAATCAATTCCGCACCGCAGACGTTTAGCTTCTCTGTCCAAGGCTGGTGCTCCTCCCCCATTGCCACCTCTCTTGAAGGAGCCCTGTTCGAGTCCCCCGCCGGAAAGAGGGTCTCCACTACCTCGTCAAGAAAACCCGGTTGCATCGTTTCAACCGCAGGGAGCGCCCCAGTGCTCAGCTTGTTCATCACAAGCTTATAGGGGCGCCCTCACGGGTCTGTGTCCAGGGACCGGATCATCTCATCCCATGCCGCCTCTTTGGCCTTTCGGATAGCCGACTTAAGCTCCTGTCGCTTTTGTCGGTTCTCCTCCAGGAGACGGTCCAGCTCCTCCCCAGGAGTGTTCCGCCTCCGCCTCGCCCTCTGAACAGCCCTCCTGGCAGCCACTGAGGAGCGCCTCACCTCGGCAATCTCCTCCGACCACCGAGAGCTACTAGATAAAGGGGAGCTGACTTGTCCGCCATCTTGGAGCCCAAACGTTTGACTTCGACAAATGCATTTCGGCACAAGATATGAATTTCTTGTTCTAAATTTATTGTTAATAAAATCCAAATTACGTTTTTGTTTTTGGAAAGCTATATTTTTAATTAATTATTAAAGCTATATTATTAATTTAATTTGTAAATAAATAAAAATATAGCTTTCCAAAAACAAAGACGTAATTTGAATTTTATTAACAATTAATTTAGAACAAGAAATTCATATCTTGTGCCGAAATGCATTTGTTAAAGTCAAACGTTTGGGCTCCAAGATGGCGGACGAGTCAGCTCCCCTTTATCTAGTAGCTCTAGCTCGTCCCCGGTCGGGGGGTTTACTACTCCCCCCTTGGTTAGTCTCAGGGAAATATCCACCGGCAGCCGACCGTGTCCCATACACACGCAGACACACTGCCGCTCTCCTGCCCATCCCCTGCCCCTCCCCATGCCTGGCCGCACGCCCCAGCAACGGGACGTCGGCCCCAGACACAGGGATTGACAGGTTCACGACAAGAGAACGGGTGTTGGCCGGCAGGCGTGCCGACCAACTCCTCGGACAACCGGGCCCCGCCTGGGAATAAGTTCCAGCGGCCCCGGCGGTCCCCAGGCGATCGGGCCCCGCCTCGGAATACGTCCGAGCGGTCCCGATCCCCGTCTATCTTCCGGCCCACCCGGCAACCTGAGCCACGCTCAGTCTGTTGCCAGGGTCCGGCCCCTGCCCCTGGAAGAAACGGACCACGTCCGAGACAACCGCGGGGAGGCCACGGCTTCCCGTCCACCCAACTGCCCGAGCCACGCTTGGTTGTGCAGCTAGGGCCGGGCTCTCCCCCGTCCCCGGAACAGGACCACGTCCAGCCCAGTGACGGAGGAGCCTTGACCCCCACTCTCCTGCCGGAACACCGACGTGCAATGGAGCAGTGAGTGTCCTCCACCTCTTGACACCCCGACCGCCTGCCGGAGCACCGACGTGCAGGGTGCTTTCCAGCAATGTACAGAGGCGACACTGTGTAACACAGTGTACGAATTGTACGACCCCAGTGCTTTCCAATTACGACACAAGTCGACACAAGCGTACACAGCTAAAATGGGGTGCTTTCCAGCAACTACACAGGCGACACTGTGTAACACAGTGTACGACCCAGTGCTTTCCAACTACGACACAAGTCGACACAGTCGAACTTAGCTTTTTAGCTGTGTACGCTTGTGTCAACCTGTGTCGTAGTTGAAAAGCACTGGGTCGTACACTGTGTTACACAGTG